ATAATGTGGCAAACGAGCAAGCGGCCATCTGAATCCACCAAAATGGCGAAACGACCGCTGCCCATAGACATTCGCAATATCAGATGCGTTGTCTACCCTTAATCATAAAGAGGATACTTCCCTTTCCTATGCGTCTCCTCCACCGTCACATTCACGTTCGCTATCCATCCTTTTCTTATAAGAAAAAGGGACTAAAGTTGGTTCCTACAAAAGAAAGCGTTAAAAAAGAGTAGTCAAGTTGTATTCTGAACGGAGACACAATTAGCCCTTCAACCTCTGTATAGTTTTAGTTGATACAGATACTACTAATATAAATGCGAACATTCAAATGTTTTTAAGAACGTATTTCCAGACCGGTTTAAGAGATCCCTATGAAATTTAGCACAGATATAGGACACATAGGCAACATAATTTTTTTAAATCCTCGCGAATGTAATCACCAGCAAAACCTACTCTGACATCGACTAGAATCGGGTTAACCCCTAAACTATTGAGGGTTAACATATCCCATGTTAAAAATAAAGATTGAAACAGAGTACACTTAAGTAAACAGAGAGTAAACTTGACATTCATTATTAACATCAACGAAGCGAGTAAGTCAAACATAATGCACATTAAACAATAGCTGTGAACGAAGCACTTAGTGTGTTCAAGACTTGATCACCAAGTGGTTAGGTTAACGTAACGACGGGACATTAAGGTTCAGATTATATCTACCTGTTTTGTTTTAATTGCTTACCTACTTAGCATTTTGGTATAATTTCAATAATATAGCCTTTTATTATGAAATTAGATATACCCAAAAATAGGTATAGTATACCCCTAATTTCAGTGTGCCTCTTGCCATAGGACTCCTTCAAACTCTTCCACTGTTTTCTGTCTTGCTTAACTCTTCTCCAATGTCCAAAAATAACAGTGGTAAAGCCCGCTTTAACATCTTCGCAGGAATGGGCCGGCTCGCCAGGTGAAATACCACGACCTCACAGAAGACAGGCGTGAAGTGGGTGCACTTCCGCGTTCCGTCTGATGAGTGTGGTGCCGAGGCCTAATTTCAGTCCCTTTTCTTAATAGGGAAGGGAAGGAAAAGTGGATTTGACGGTGGAGGAGACGCATAGGAAGGGGAAATGTCCTGTTTATGTGCGTCTCCTCCATGAATTAACGATAGGCAACGCATCTGCAATCGCGGATGTTTATGGGCAGCGGTCTCTTTCCATTTCGGTGGATTCAAGTGGCCGCTTGCTCGTTTGCCACATTATATTGTAAATAAAACATTTGCAATCGATAATTTGACAAATGTGAACAATAAAATAAAATTTTCATTAATTCATGCGGATGAACTCGCATGGGGACAGCTAGTTATTAATAAAATGTCCTTACAGTGTACCAGTCAATTGTCGTATTAATTCAACGTGAGTGTAGGGCATCTCAACTAGCATTAACACTTACTTTCCCATAGCTTTTCATTCCTAACTACATACTATCTAAGCTATTAACATTTTCTAAGCTTTGACCCCAAGAAGTGAGAATTAATTTCTTTTATGTTAAATTAAGATTGCTAGTCATACTAATATTATAAATGCGAACGTTTAGATGGATGGATGTTTGTTAGAGTTTATATCCTAAACGGCTTAACGGATTTCAATGAAATTTGGTATGGATATAGAGGATAGTTTGGAAGGATACAAAGGCTACTCACTTATGTTTTTTTTTAATTTCACGTAAACGGAGTCGCGAGCGAAAGCTAGTAATTCATAATATGCATATTAAAAATTTTAAACTAAATCTTTTATATCTTACTAAAGAAAATATATAGTTTATATGGATGTATGTTTGTTAAAATGTATGTATTTATTTGAAACGGATTTGGCACAGATGTAAAACAGAGTCTGAAAGGAAACTTTACTAATTAAGTTTTTGATTTTTTGGCTGGAGTAATCCAGGTCTTGTTTTTACGCTAAATACGCGCCAAATGGAGTTGTGCAAACCGTAGCCCCTACTACTACTACTACCACTAATTATTTTTTTTCACAGAGGTAGTAGCCGGCAACAGCTAATGTGTCATAATGTGACAAAATATACTGCTCATAAATATCTGGAACAGTAGATACGTTGCTTACCTTTAGTCGACGAAGGTACGCACAGAAATCGGACATTCCCACCATCAAGGTTCTACATCCGTCAAATCCAGTGCGTTGAAACTACCAATGAATAACTGCAAAATTATTTAACTCAAAAGTGAACCCTGAATAACAAGATACAGATTTAGAAAACTATTAAAAAAATATTACAATGCAAAATATTATTTTTCTCACAATAAATAAAAACATATTTACTAGTAATTAAATAATTTACATGCATAAAGTCCAGGTTTCCTTTAATAAAACAGGACTTATTATTACAATTTTACTGTGATGGCATTCGAAATAATTTATTACAGTTTAATAATAAATTAAGGCAGCGTTAAAAATTTACTTATTACTTTATTTAATTTTTACTTTTTAAAACACATGCAGTCTGTACCTTCTAATAACTAATTGTGTTACCATTAGCAGAAGCCAGTATTATTTATGGCACAAAAGCAATCCGGAAACGTTACATCACGTTCAATTACTACAAATTATTAATTGCGCACTAATTCCGTATTGTATACATGCAAAAGTAAATAACAAGGATGTGGAAAATATCGGATATGGTTTATTCTACATAATAAACAATAAGTTTTGTTACTTGTTTGAAAAATGACATTGACAGTTAACGTCAGTGTTATCTGCTAGTGTGTCGTATCTGAAACTGGTGGGACAGAATTTGGTACTTTATCTGATAGTGACGTCATTTTTAAGATATCTGAAACTTTATCAGCCAGTGGTAGGACAGGAACTAAATATACATATAAATTTTTGATTTACTTCCAGTTGTAATGTGTCCAATAAAATGGACTTAAAAGATATCTAGCATAAGGTACAAAAAATTAAGAAACTTATAATCTTAACAGACAGTTAATTAACAAATTAATTTATTCAAACTTTAACGAATATGTACCTCACATTCTACTTATTTCATAAAATTAATTATCCTTTATTTCTTAATACCTTCTCCAAGAAACCACTAAACTATCTGATAACACATCAACATCTTTCCGTTTTTATAACCGCACACTAGCCTACGTTATAAAGTAATCTTGTACACTCGCAATAATCCGTAATGCCGCTTACTTGGTACTTTCAGTAAATGTACGTAGAATCTCCTACTTGTACCAATGTAAACTCCCCTTTACACCGTACCCCCGATCTAAGAGACGATTGTTTATACTCACTGCATAGCCTATAAATACGGTAGACGCTCACGTGCTAACCTGCAGTCTTTTTTATAACCACAACCCGTGTACATCATTCAAAAATGTTTACTAAAGCATTTATCCTTATTTTATTAGGTGTGTTAGAAATCAAGGGGGATGTAGGAATGAAGTATATTATGAAAGTATATGAAGATTGTCAACATTCAGAGGTTATACCATGTTTGAAGAGGAAGGCGATATTATTCTTCGATCGTGCTGCAAGAATGGAGTCGATACCAGTAATCGATGGTATAGATATCGTAAAGAATGAACTAGAATTACCACCTCTTAGTGAGAATGATATAGATTCGAATATACCAAGAGGTTTGGGCAACAAAGATCAAACATTATCAGCAATGTTATGGGACAAGATTGCAGCCTTCGCTAATTCTAGGACGGTTCAGTTTTCATTACCAAAGATGTCTGGTGAAGAACTAAATAAAGGAGTTGAAGAAGGTATGTTATTTTCAATACTAAATAGCTTAAGCCCCTTAAAGTTATCCCATTTTCAATTGGAAAGAACTTTTCTAATTATTCTTAGAAGTATCTAATGGAATAAATGTTAAATACATTAATTCCATTAGATACATATAAATAATAAATTTTAAATACATTTATTCCATTACCATAAGGCTTTTGTATTATTATTATAACCACACAAATAGTGGTTAATTAAGCTACAAAAATATAAAATACATAATATTTAATACATAACATACATCTCTAAGTAATAATGGCATTAACTTAATGTCTGTTAACTTAGAGATTCATGGCGTCCTCGAAAGCTAGACACGATTGAACTTAATTTCCTATCAGCTTAAAGCGCTTAACTTAAAGGGAACTTCAGTGAAAGCCATGTTACTAAGCTACTAACCAAGATATTCACAATATACGTTGATAATTATATACATAATCTTTATATACTAGCTTTCGCCCCGGATTCTGTTCGCATAGAATTAAAAAACCTAAGTAAGAAACCTTAACATTAATACTGTCTTTTACAGCAATTTTATCGAGATCCGTTACGTAAAGAGTCTCTAAACTTTAACAAATATCTATGCATACATCCACAAATGTCTGTGGTAAAATAGGTTACCATAGCAATTATATCCATTGAAGAAAAAAATTATTTCATTTAAATCCAGTCCATCGATATCGAACATTTAAGCCGCAAAATAATAGCAACGGAAAAGCGTAATAAATAGCCATTTATTAAAATGATCATGGACTCGATTACATTGTCTTTTACCCATAATAATAGGTGAACTGGTTTCTAGTAGCTTTTCCCATCGCTTTGAATGTTCTTGCAAACTCAAGTCTGCAAGTACCATAAAATTAAACGACAATACCATTTCTAGCGGATGTCGTTTGACAAATCGTTGGACATTTAACTTTTACTGAAAACATTATAAATAATTGTGATTGTAATAAACACGGAAGCGAGAGTTAGTTCAAGTATTATTTTGTATTGAAGTGGTTTTGGTAATTCATGAAGATTTTTTTAAGGACATTTGTACTTTGTATCCTATATTTATACTTTAGTATTTTATTAATGACTAGCTGTTGCTTGCGACTCCATCCATGCGACATTAAAAATAGTAACAACATATAGCCTATACTACTCACTTATAACGTAGTTTTTTATGGTATTTTTTAAACTCTGCCCAGTAGTTGTTAAGTTATTTCAATGCATACAAAAATATAAAACTTTCCTCTTTATAATATTAGTATACTAGCTTTTCCACGAAACTCTGTCTGCCTGGGATTAAAAAAATAACTATCCTATGTGTTCTTCCAGACTCCTCTACATCTATACAAAATTTCATCGAGATCCGTTCAGCCGTTTAAGCTACAAACTCTAACAAACATCCATCCATCTAAACTTTCCCATTTATAGTATTAGTAAGAGGAAATATTTATTTTATATAACCATTTATATTTATTATGTAATGAATAATTTAAATAAAAAAGGTCTTTGTAAGCTTGTTACTATGCAACATTTAAGTAACAATATTAAAACAATAAACTTTGACATTCCAGGTCGCGGTAAAATGAAGAAGATGATGGGGATGATGATGATGGGAGGAGTGATGAAGTTGGCAGCGATGATACCACTAGCTATGGCCGGTCTATTCATCCTGGCGGGGAAAGCTTTGATCGTTTCAAAGGTAATGTTGCTTTAAAATTGTTAAAACTGTCTTAAAACTTATAATACTAAGATATTTGGAGCCTTTGACAAAGACGAATGTGATATTTAAATATATTGGGAGATATTTAAGCCTGCATCAGACTCTCAGTTCCGACTGTACAATTCAACAGTCAAAATGTACAGTTAGAACTGAGGGTCTGTATCGGATTTAATCTGTCTTGATGCCTTTGACGTCGAAACAAACAAACATCGAAAAAAATAGTTGTTGCCGCCATTTTTTTTTATGTTTAGATGAACAATTAAAAGACATTGCAAATTTCACCTTAATTATATCCAAAATAATTGTGTAGTAAAAAGTACGAAAGATTCTTGCACTTAAAGTATTTCAAACCAATTATTATGAAACTATTTTTTTATCTCTTTGTCTATTTTAATTACACTTTCCATACAATTATTTAATGAATGAAATTCATTAAAATCCGACTGACAGTATAAATGGTACTTGAGATGGTACATTTTTAAAAAAGCATAGTTCTTCAATAATAGGACCAACGTCCATTCAAACATAACACAACGTGAGAATCATTTTATTAGGTTACTAGCGGCGCACGGATCCGATGCTGATGCGAAATAGTGATTCAGAAACCTCGAATTATCAGTATTTCTCTTATATATCATACATACTTATAAACGTTCCTCTTGAAACACTCCGTCTAATAAAAAAATTTGCACCAAAATCGGTTGCGTAGTTTTAAAGATCTATGTATACAAAGAGACAACAGGAAACGACTTTGTTTTCCTGTTATCTTTTGGACATTTCACTAGCATACGCATTACGCCAGAAACTGGCACATAGCTGTAACTGGCATGCAATATTTTTGCTACCATATACTCCCGTCTTTCGTTTAAATTGTCACTTTATATTGTACTGTTATTTAGTGATAACTATAATGATGAATCTCGAGTATGCAATTAGCTTCTTTGAGAAAATTCTTCGCATGTTCCACTTTTGTGCCTTCGTTTAGTACAAGTACACTTGTACTTCTGATTTATGTCAAGATTATACATGAACCCGTCACGAGTACGTGAGTAAAATAATCTAGGTTCATCTTTAAAGGTTTGTAGATATACTATCTCACATTCGTAATATTTATAACTAGTGATTCGCCCCAGTTTTACCTGGATGACAAATAATGTACGTTTTATATATTTTTTGTCATATTTTTGCTGCTGATGACCCGTTTATATTATAGCCTATTTTGTGGTTATGTGCCTTCTAAAGACTAGATAATTCTAAACGAATTCTTAAGGTTAAAAACGGTTTAGTGGTTTCGGTGTCTATACAATGCAATCAAAACTTTCCCCTTAATAGTATCACAATAAATATAGATTAAAAATTAAAATTATAGTGTTTGTGATGGTAATCAAATTAACAACAAAGTCCCGCAATTAAATTGATTGCAATTTCTGTCCCACTAAAGTCCATTTACAATTCTTGTCCCACTAAAGTCCATTTACACGAAATCATTATAACTTATGACTAGCGGCCGTGACTTTACAATTCAACAATAGCAAGACACAATCATCGTTTAACGTCAAATGTATCGCATTTACATCACGAAAGCGTGAAAAATTTAATTCGCTACCACGCAAATGACGTACAATCAGGGAAACTTGCGGTGTTCTTTAAAAGCTACAATCGTTTGAACATTTTGATACGAGACGCGGAATAAAAACCAACGTGTTTTTGTCTAGCTTCTCCTGTCCCACTGGCTTGCCTGTAAGAGATTGCTGATAAGCCCTTGCATAAATCTTGTAGTAACTTAGTTTAAGTATACTTATTGTATATCTATACTAACATAATAAAGCGTAAACATACACTTCTTTGTTGCCAAAGATGTCAGCAATCACAGTATATTTTAGAATAATTCTATTTTTAATAAAAAGCCCTACACTTACGTCGCACTTTAGGTTATATATTTTCACGCCGTTAAACTTAGGGATTAATATTTTGGATAAAAACCCTAATATGGGAAAGAGACCATAAGTTGTTGCCGACATCAAGGAAGCACGGTTGCCATGGTTTAACATCATGTCATTTTTGACATTTGCAATTGATAACTTAACAAATGTGAACAATAAAATGATTTTTTTTATAATTTTATACCCATGAAGTCGCATGGGAACAGCTAGTTTGTACATTAAGTGTTACATAAATAAATAAACAATACAACGCAGCCTATAAATGTATCTGTACCAAAAGTCTCTTAGTGATACAGGACTAGTGTATTTTTATCATTATCTCTTTGTTTGAATTCACTGTTATCTAATTAGTTTTTTTGTAGGAAGAGGTGGAGTTTGACTTCTCGGATGAACAAAGCATTTTGTCCTGAAGTGGTACACCGCGGCTTTCCGCGACTGTACTTTGAAGCGCGTAATGTTAAATTGTAAAACGTATACAGTATCTATTGGAAATTTGTGATACAGACATTTTTATTCAACGTATAAACAATGGAAAATTTCTCTGCTATAAGTAATTTTATATATTACTAGCTGTTGCCCGCGACTTCGTCCGCGTTTTATTAGAAAACATACGAATTATATAAATAACAAAAAGCTACGTATCCCTCGGGAACCGGTCATTTCTCAGGAATGACTTATCCCATGTGTACTCCAGACTTTGTTTTACATCTGTGCTAAATTTCAAGAAGATATGTTGAACCTTTGCAGAATGATCGAGTAAATATTAAAAAACCTAAATTAAAAAAATCCCACGGGAACCGTAACTATTCCCGGGATAAAGTAGCCTATGTGTTCTTTCAGACTATTCTCTAAACCTGTGCCAAATTTCATCGAGATCCGTTCAGCCGTTTCATCCAAACATCCATCCATCCATCGTAACTTTTGCATTTATAGTATTTATATGATTTTATGAGATTTATTATCTGACTGTACTCAAAGTAATCCAATTACAGATATAAAATAAAGAGGTTCCGTTTTATTTCTAGAGCGCTACAGTCACGATCTCGACTGAACATTACGTTTCGCTTTGGGAACACAGTAAACTCATTAGATAAAACTGAGTAAACTAAATCAAATACCAACCATAGTATAGTATAAATATTAACATTAATCTTGATAAAAAATATGAGATGAAATTAAATTTAAATTATAAACTTTTGCATATTTAATCTTTCTGTAACAGACGGAAATGTAATTCAGTTAAAAGTGATAGGCCAATAGCCAATAGTCAATAGTCAATTTACGGAAAATTAGCAAATATTATATCGACCCTTCTTTCTTCAGAATAAGGTCATATTTGTTAAGTATCAATTTTAGCGTCACAGTTTTTTTTATATAAAATAAGGTGGCAAACGAGCAAGCGGACACTTGAATCCGCCAAAATGGCGAAGCGACCACTGCCCATAGACATCCGCAATTGCAGATGCGTTGCCTACCCTTATCCGACGGAGGAGGAGACGCACATCAAGAGGATATAGTGAACTGAACTGCTTAAAAATATTGATTAAAGTGGATGAATCGATTTCTAATTCAAACATACATATGCATAGAATTCAGTTGTTATATGCTATCGTTTGATCACGCTTTAATTCCTATGTGATAAATGCAGGGACGCATACTACTCGATTTTTAGTTGTACAACTAAACAATGGGCAACGAAACAATCGACAATCGCACAGTTGTGTGATTATATTCAAAGTATGCGCCCGCTCTTAAATGATTTATTTAAAATACATCAAACAAAAGTCAATCTCATTTATGTCACGAAGACATAAAAAACATAGTCAACACGATATGACATACTGAGAACATTCAAAACTAAAATCTCATAACTCAATCCCACGTCAAACAAAGCGCCAGATCACTAGAATACAAAGAACAGATTTCACAGACTCACAGCATCTGCTCTTAATGATCGTTGACATTGATTTTCCTACATAGTTTATTGACAAGAAATGTAGAACAATAATGAGAACGTTATAAGTGATGTAAGAGTAATACATCTCTCTTTAATTACTCTATTTATAAATGGGCTGACAAGTGATATTTATTTAAGGTTTAAACATAATCTAGGTAGACTATACTATACTATACTAATTAAAATTAGACTCACTTCCCCTTGGAGCATTGACTTGAAAAGGAAATCATTTATTTCGGTAGGCATTTTCCTATATGTTCTTCAAGATTATCCTCTACATGTATGCCAAATTTCATCAAGATAAATTCAACAGTTTAGGTAAAAAACCCAAACAACCATCCATCCATCTAAACTTTCGCATGTACAATATTACTAAGATAAAAATTACTGACATTTCTACGCTTAAATTAAGGAAATGTCCCTCTAATAACATTATGCGTTTAGTCACACAACATTATAATTCACTACGGATTATGTAGAAAGTTAGAGGTTATGTCCATTTTTTTTCATAAACACCATAAGGTCACGATATTTTTAAATTACTGTTCAGGTTGAATAGACATGTCCTTTCAAACGCATAAGAAACTTTAAATCTTCATTAACAGTCTAATTACTGGCGTGAAATTAAAAGAAAAAAACAAACAAATAGCCAATGCCTACTTACTGATAACAGGCTTTTTAATGGTGAATGAATTTTTGAAATTGGCCCAGTAGTTTTTGTGCTATTTCAATACATAGAAATATTTCTTTTTATAATATTAGTACAGATTATTTATTAAAGAAATCTTCGACAATTAAAATCGGACATTTTCTGACTATACCGTGTTGAAAGAACCAGACTTGAGGTGTCAGCTCTGATAACGCTTAGTCTAAAAGAGCTCCTTTAGAAGTCACGGCTCGGGCTAATACTTCACTTCATCACTCTGTCCTTTTAACTACGTACGTCACGTGTGTTCACAGTACGATATCTACTTTTCAACATATTCATCAGCCGTATGTGAATTCACCTCTTACATCCCCTTTCACACAGTTCCATTCTGTCTTCCTTTACCTTTGTATCGTCATTCAATCTCCAGAACTACCTATAGCTAGTGAATTACTATTCTAAAAGTTAATTTTCTACCTCGCGTGACTAAAGTCTATTCTACAATATTGTTTACTTTCTAGTTAACTATTTGGAATACCTTTTCTAGTAAAATCTGCATCTGGTATTTTAATGACGTCATAATTTATTTGTTACAAAACTATTAGAGCGGACACACCTTTGATTAAACTATCGCACAACTGTGATAGTCGATTGTTTTGCAGTTAAAACAGTTTAGTTGCACAAAAAATCGAGTAGTATGCGCACCTCCATAATTTAAGGAGTCAAAGCGAGACTAAAAAGTTGTGCGATAGTTTAGTTTCAGGTGTACGCACACTCTTAAGATTTTAATCTAAGATTCTACTTAGAATTTTTCAAGAAAACAATTTTTTTTTAAATTATTAACCCTTACACTAATATGATTATTACATAATTTTACTGTTCCAGAGAAGGTACAATTTCTAAGAGCTGTGTACTAAATAGTACATTTTAGGTACATTTTTTTTGTAATTGAAACAATTTAATTCGCTATAGTACAATACATTTTGACTCTCATTACATATATCTTGTCATTACATGTATCTGTATCTTAAATGAGAGAATAAATAAGCCAACAAATGTAGGAATATCTCCAAGGTAACCTTTACCCTCGCTGAACCAGTTTAGAAAGTATACCTAAGTACAATTATTAAACAAATAATATGTACAATTGCGAAGTAAATATTTGTTAGTCCTTTCGTCCTATGATTGTGTATTATGTATCATATTTGCATACAATTGACGGTAGCGGGCTACTTTTAATAGAATTAAAAAATAAAATAAGTTATGACTACTTATAAGTAATTTTAAATATGTTAATGTCTTATCTATAAATATTGCAATAAATATAAATCCATACATAAGTATACATTAACATGTAGTAATAGTTGACGATTTTTGCAATGCTATTTACAAAATTAAAAACCTACATCAGCTTACTTAATCAAGTTTCAAGGATAGGTATTACTATACACATTTCAATATTCGTAAAAAATAAAGAAAAGATTCAGAAACATTATTCTTTTGTTAATTATTTAGTAAAGAAAATCTTACAATAATCCTTATCATAAAATCAAACATAACCTGCTAACAAGTATTTAAATAAACCTTAAATAAATACGCTCACCTGTTCTAGATACGGAACCCATTATCATATTATATAAAACCTGCTTTATTTTCTTATTATCATTCGTGAACGAGCTATATCGGCTGCCAGTATTGTTCCTGCCTTACGAGTACGCGGTCGTTTATTCCACGGCAATTTTGAAAAAAGAAAAATTCCCGCTCAATTTCAAGAAAATTCCAATGTCGTTGTAAGTAAATCTCGTGCGGCTTATTTTATTTATTAAGTCGCACGAGATTTATTTCGATTGATGTTGGAATAGCACCTCAAGATATGCTTCGATGTGATGTTTAGATTATTTTATTGTTTTTTTCTGTGTATTTTGTGCCAGCATTTTCATAGGACACATTTGACACTTCATGGTTTAACAACGTAACATTGTAACGGCGATCATAAAACATTTTTATTTTTTTTTTAAATCAGAACTGCACAGAAAATTTTGAAAATTGCTATTACATATTAAGTCTAGTCATGTCATTCGAACGTCGTTACAATATTACGTCAGTGAACCCTTTTTCTTTTTAAACAATACGGATAGTGAACAAAACATAATGCCAAAAACAGATTTTTCGTAACGACTGATTTCAACTGTCATATGTTTGAAGCATTTTCAACTTTTTTTTTTCAACAAACACAATCCATTTACCCCACTATTAAGTAGAAATTGGTACACAAATGTTACCTTTTATCTTGACACTTCTTTAATAGTTATTCATATAAAAAAGAAACAGAAATCCCTTATTGTATGCAAATATTTGCCTTTTCAATAAACATTGAACAGAACTTCAGTTATATAAACAATGGAGCAATGTTTTGGACTGGAAAAAATGTTTTGATTAACAACTTCATAACTTCCTATCATGTGTAAAATCTTAATTCAAAGAAATTTATTCTTTCAAGACAATTTAGTAGTGAATATTTTAATTTTAAGGTTAAATCATACTGTAACATTCTGAATGCGAAACTTTAGATGGATGGATGTTTGTTAGAGTTTGTAACCTAAACGGCTGAACGGATTGCATTGAAATTTGACATAGATGTAGAGGATAGTCTGGAAGAACATATAGGCTACTTACTTTTGTTTTTTTATTAATTCCCCGCAGACACAGTCGCGGAAGCTAGTAAGTATCCTATCTGTCTTTCAATATTGTCCTCTACGTCAAACTTCATCGAGATCCGTTCAGCCGTTTAGGCTACAAAAACTAACAAGCATCCATGCATCCATTTAGACTTTGTCATCATACTAATATTATAAATATTAGATTGATGGAAGTATGTTATGTTTGTAACCTAAACAGCTGAACGGATTTTGATGAAATTCGGTATAGATGTCGAGGATAGTCTAGAAGAACACGTAGGCTACTCACTTATTTTTTTTAAATTCCACGAGGACGGAGTCCTGGGCAAATGCTAGTTTATAGTAATATTAAGAATATTAAGATTAATTTATGTTCTTTTTCGTTTCCAGATCGCTTTATTACTGGCCGGTATCCTTGCAATAAAGAAGATATTATCACAGAAGAGTAGCGGTGGTCACGAAAGTCACGGTTGGTCGTCAGGAGGCGGTAGTCAGGGATGGGATAAGAGGTCCCACAATGATGTATCAGATTTAGCATATTCCGCGTATAAGACTGAATAGACAAGTGTTACAATTGATTACAAGAACAATAATAACTATAGTTGTGATCGAAAATGTTTGATTTACTTTGTATTATGCAGAACACAAAATTATTTAACCATCTTTAAATAGATTTCAAATTTTCCATTTCTTATAATGTAAGTTTATTTAATATGGATTAAAAAACTTTGGTAAGTAAATCGTTTATTGAATTCCGCGGTTGTAAATTATACTTATTGTAAACTAACATAAAATTCAAATTAAATCGTGGTTAATTCACGTAACAACTTTGGGTATTGTAGTAATACTTTTAAGACAAAATGTCGGTTTTTCGTTTGTTAATTTAATAATATATGCTGTTAATAATTTATTTTGTTAGATATTTAGTGGCATCTTAATACTCAAGTATTGTTATTATAAGATTTAATTTGTTATAGTTATTTAAAATATTTTTATAGTACATCGACAATGTTTTCTCATGAAAAAAATAACGCCTATTTTGTGAGAATTAATATTTAGATTAAAGATGAAATTTATGGTCTTAATTTTCATTCTATTTAAGTGTTATTTTTCTTTTACTTTTATGTTTGAAACGTATTTATTTAAGTTATTTATTTTAGATCATTTTGAATAATAATAATTTAAGTGTTGTTTACTTAATAAACAATGTTTTGTACTTTTTATTAAAAGATATCTTAAGATTATTTAATAATGTGTTTGTTTAATTTTAAACTAATTTATTCAATTGTTTATTAAATACTTAATATGTAAAAATAGTGTTTATTTTTAAATCTCCAACTTATCTATATGCAATTAATTTAGTTCGTAAGTTTCCATTGATGAAAAAATTGTATAACACATATTACTATCTCTCTTTTTCAAAGAATGAGAGAACAAGACGAGATAATGACATAACCAACGGACCATCGCAGGAAAACCTGAAAAACGCTTCATGAGATTTTTGTTTATTTTGGTGTCTCGTAAAAATGCAACACGAATTATGCAACAAAGTATCAAGAAGATTCCATAATAAGATTGTACTGCACATAATCCAATAATGCCTATATGGCTTCCAATAATGTGCTGTTCCACAAACAAGTACTAAAGAATACTAGTAACCCTTTTCCCTCACATCTATATAGTATACTAGTATAATAAAGCGTAAACTCACACTTCTTTGTTGCCTAAGATGTCAGCAATTACAGCATATTTTTGAATAATTCTTTTTTTAATTAAAAGCCCTACACTTTTGTCATGCTTTAGGCTACATATTTTAACGCCATTAAACTTAGGGGGTATTTATTTTTAAAAACATTAATGTGAGAAAGAGACCATAAGTTGCTGCCAACATCAAGGAAGCAAGGTTGTCATCATGTTATGTCATTTTGACATTTGTAATTGATAATTTGGCAAATGTTAACAATAAAATAAAATTTTCGTAATTCGTAAAGCCGCGTGGGAACAGCTACTTTCTTATAAATAAATTATTGCAACGGAAAAGTGAAATTGACGAAGGAAGAGACTCATAAGAGGAAAGTCTCTTCTCCGTTGATTAAAAGTTGGCAACGCGTCTGCAATTATGGTTGTCTTTGGGCAGCGGTCACTTCGTATATAAGTGCATTCATTTGTCTGTTTGGTAACTGCGTTATGATATAAAAAAAATTCAAAACTAATTTACAATCTTTTGTACATGGAAGTGTTTTGTTCAATTTAGTTGTAGGTAACAAATAAGCAGATTGGCACAGACGTAAGCTAACTTGCAACGTTAGATATAATTGTAACTTTGCTTACTTCAAAGACCTTCAAAGGTCATAGACTAGCGCACGATAGTTACAACCTTGAAGGTATAATTAACGAGCCTAAAGTGTGGCCTGTCTGCTGATCCGTTCGAACATTCATCATTGCTTATTTGAATAGACAAAAACTATATTTACAGTGTATTTTAAGAAATACATTTAAGAATTAAAATATTTAAAATACTATTTTAATATTACATTATCTATGTTATTGATATTTTTTTATACAACAAGCTGATGCCCGCGACTTCGACAGTGTGGTATTAGAAAACAGCCAAATTTCAATAATATATGTTGAACCGTTGCAGAATGATCGAGTAAACATTAAAAAACTAAATTAATTAATCCCACGGGAACCATAACTATTCCCGAGATAAAAAGTAGCCTATTTGTTCTTCCATAACTGTGTAAGTAACAAATAAGTTTCGTTCAACGTGATTAGATAGATTTAGACATTTTTTTGTTTATTTTTTACCATACTTAAATTCCCCGAACACCGCCATCTAGTTATCGATTTGTAAAACAGGGACATTTTTGTGAACATTTCCACCTATTTTCGACATGACTAATACAACTTTAATTAAAAAAAAGCTTGTACAGTAAAAGTAATAGTCGAAAAATACTTTTTAAAATTACTATTTGTTTTTTCCACGTCCGTATGTATACTCGTATTCTAAGTGTGAGTTTCCGCTGCCGATACTTATGTACTTTAACCAGAAATATAAAATTCTCTCTAATATAATCTAATTCCGTTGTACATTAAATAGTGATCTTATAGAAGGCGGTACAAGCGCCCTCGACGTTTTGTATAAATGGATAGGACAATTTGTATGGATTTTTTATTGTATGGTTGGGTACAGTCATTGTGAGCATTTGAGGTGATACTGACGTATTGCTACATTCTCCAATCAAGTATTACTATTAGTAGAATAACCTTAATACTAATATACTCATAATTCATCCAAGATATTAAGCTCTGAATTTTTAATTTATAACAACATAAACAATCTCTTACACTTAACCGTGAGTTTTCACTGTTAGTACATTAATACGAAAACACATCTCTTTCCGAAAACACCGAATAAAATATTTATTACTAGCTGTTCCTCGAGACTTCACTTTTAAAATAAGAAAATGTAGCCTATGTTACTCTCTGATAACGTAGCTTTTTAATGGTGAAATAATTTTTGAAACCGGCACAGTAATTTTTGAGTTATTTCGATACGTACAAAAATACAAATCTTTCCTCAGTATGATATTAGTATAGATAAATTCAATAAAATTATATTAAAATTATAGTCTTGTATATTCGTCAGTGTAAACCCACGTTAATATAGACGACAGTAAGTGGATTTCGATTAAAACTGGAAGCAATGCTTCCGTCGAGTGTCGCACGCAATTGAATTACACTATCTTTCCGCAATGATGTTTTTCTGCCTAATTTCTCGCACGGCTAGGACTACACAAGTAGGAATTATGTAATACCTTAACTTCTATCGGCACAAAATTCATGTCACTTCCAGAAACGTTTAACCATTCGTTAGTGTTTTTGGTTCGATAAATTCTTAAATGAACTACGTAACTTGAGTTTTTCTCTTTAAAATTCAGTTTAACCTAACACCAATTAGTCCTAGTGATTTTAGTTATCTATACTATTATAATAAAGCGTAAACACACGCTTCTCTGTTGCCTAAGATGTCAGCAATTACAGCATGTTTTTGAATAATTCTTTTTTTAATAAAAATCCCTACACTTACGTCATGCTTTAGGCTATATATTTTTATGCCGTTAGACTTGGGGTTTAAATATTTTGGATAAAAACCCTATTGTAGGAAAGAGACCATAAGTTGCTGCCAACATCCATAAAGATTGCTAAGGTTTGTCATGTCATGTCATTTTGACATTTGCTATTGACAAACAATAAAATGAAATTTTCATAATTTCATGCGGATGAAGCCGCACGGGAACAACTAGTTTCTTATAAATAAAGGATTGCAACGGCGAAGTAAAATTGACGAAGGAAGAGACTCATAACATCGCAATTGCAGATGCGTTGCCTACCCTTAATTGACGGAGGAGGAGACGCACATAAAGAGGACATTTCCCCTTCCTATGCGACTTCTCCACCATCAAATCCACTTCCCATCCTTTCCACTAAAGGAAAGGGTGGAAAGTGAAAGGGCCTAAAATTAGGCCTCCGGCACCACACTCATCAGACGAAACGCGGAATTGCTCCCACTTTACGCCTGTTTTCTGTGTGGTTATGGTATTACACCGGGCGAGCCGACATTCGTGCGAAGATGTTAAAGCGGGTTCTACCACTGTTATTTGTCAATGCCGTTCAACAACAGCAATCAAGTTAATACAACTTATAATTACTCGTATCATTATACAAGCGCATGTTAGCACGTTTTTGATGGATTCCTTTTCTACCACTAATTAGGTAAAAAAATTGTCAGTCAACATTACACCGATATACAGATTTCATTAAAAAAATTCCAAGTTTTTTTTTAATCGCACACAACACAACTGTGCCCATGTTTTTTTTCTATCAAGAATAAACTAGCGTTAAAGTACTTCAAGCAATGTCAGGACTCAATATCCTGACTGCTCTGAGATAAAACAAAGACAGTGCGGCGTCGAGGACTCAATGCATCGGTAAAAGCTTCTCAAGACGAGAACGACCTTCAATAATGAAGACAACGAACAGAAACTAAATCTCAACAATTCGTGGTTCCGCGCTAGTTTATTCATTACTAGACTGCGTCCGCGTCTCCGTCCGCAAAGAATTAAAAAAAGGAGCCTATGTGTTCTTCTAGATTATCCTCTGCATCTCTGCCAAATTTCATTTAGGTCCGTTCAGCCGTTTAGACTAGAAACTCTAACAAACATCCATTGTTCCATTAATCTAAACTTTCGCATTTATAATATTACTAGCTTTCGCCAGCGACTCTGTCCGCGTGTAATTAATGAATACAAAAGCGAGTAGCCTATATGTTCTTCCAGACTATCCTCTACATCTATACGAAATTTCTTCGAAATTCGTTCAGCCGTTTAAGCTACAAACTCTAACAAACATCCTGGTCAAGCAATAAGTAATAAATATCATACTGGCCGCCAAGAAAGCCATAGAAAATGTTTTTGTAATTGAGGAACGTAATTTGAAAGTAGTGAAAAATGTGACGTGAGCGATGTAACAACATTTTATTTGTATTACATGCCTTTTATCAATTTATGTGAATAGTTTGTGTATTTTATCATTAAATAAAGAAGAATTTATCAATGGTACTAGTTTACATTTATTCATGGTCCTTCGAGCCGGATTTAAGAAGCAGCAATTTTATCAAGTAGTACCATCATACAAGAGCAGCACCATACGAACTATATCAAAAAGGTAACAAATTGATTTGAAATTGTTTTGGATTTTTATCAAGATAACGCACTAGAAGAAAGACGCATTGTAACAGTTTTGCGCGCAATAACATTAGCGTCCTAGCAGTCGCGAGGCGACGCTGGCGCGGCGGGGTCAAGAAGAAGGCGAGGGCGGCGGAGGG